CCTGTAATCCCAGCTACCTGGGAGGCTGAGGCAGGAGACTCGCTTGAGCCCAGGAGTTGGAGGTTGCTGTGAGCGTGATGCCACGGCACTCTACCCAGGGGGACAGCTTGAGGTTCCGTCTCAAAAAAATAAATAAAATAAAAAAAAATAAAATAACCAGGTGTTATAGCAGGCACCTGTAATCCCAGCTGCTTGGAGGCTGAGGCAAGAGAATCACTTAAGCCAAAGAGCTTGAGGTTACTGTGAGCTGTGATGCCACAGCTCTCTACTGAGGGGGACAAAGTGAGACTGTCTCCAAAAAAAAAAAAAACAGAATATTCTGGAGAGAAATGAGTAATATAGGCATCAAAAGGAATCCTCCCCACCCTAATTAACTGCAAGATGCTTTGCCTTTAAAGGAATAACTTTTCACTGTTGACATACAAGTGAAAGAAATTTTTAACAAGAAAAAAATGGAGAGAGGATCAATAGGCCTTTTCTTACATATAATAAAAGTAGGTCATGGGGGCAGCACCCATAGCTCAGTGGGTAGGGCGCCAGCCACATACACCCAGGCTGGCAGGTTCAAACCCAGCCCAGGCCAGCTAAACAACAATGACAACTGCAACAACAACAAAAAAAGATAGCCAGGCATTTTGGTGGATGCCTGTAGTCCAGCTACTTGAGAGGCTGAGACAGGAGAATTGCTTAAACCCAAGAGTTTGAGGTTCTGTGAGCTGTGACATCACAGCACTCTACCCACGGTAACACAGGGAGACTCCTGTCTCAAAAAGAAAAAGTAGGTCATATATAATAGCTCTAGAGAATTCACATTTGCAACATTACTATGATGAATATAGTTTGTGCATGCAACATATAAGCTGCCTATGTACACTCATAAATATTCAACTATTAATACTTATTGCAAATAATGAAACACCCTTTTTAAAAGTATTTCAAAGGAAGTGAATATATTTTAAATGAAGCATAACATGGGGGCGGGGCCTGTGGCTCAGTGAGTAGGGTGCTGGCCCCATATACTGAGGGTGACAGGTTCAAACACGCCCCGGCCAAGCTGCAACAAAAAGAAATAGCTGGGCATTGTGGTGGGCGCCTGTGGTCCCAGCTATTCGGGAGGCTGAGGCAAGAGAATCACCTAAGCCCAGGAGCTGGAGGTTGCTATGAACTGTGTAACACCGCATCACTCTACTAAGGGCCATAAAGTGAGATTCTGTCTCTAGCAAAAAAATAAATGAAATAAAATAAATAACAAAAAATAATACTAATAAAGCATAACATGTTACATGGCCCCAAAGAAGATTCCTTCTTGCTCTCATTTTCTGTCCAACAAAGCTTTCTGAAAAATATGAATCAAAATCAACTTATTACCTAAGCATACCCAGAATTCTGGGTTTTAATGAGAGTTTTAGTAATCATCAGGAAAAGACTTTATGGAAAAGAACTTAATTAAATCCAACATTTTTTAATTCCTTAAACAGCCAGAGTGATTTTCTGGAAACTTAAATCAAATCATTCTACCCTTACTTAAATCCTTTCATGGCTTCTCATGGTCATTGCACAAAATTCAAAAATCCTTAAAATGGGTTCTACATCTCCAATAACCTGGCACTTTCTTTATTACTCTTGCCCCCTTTGACTATATAACAATACGTATACTGGTCTTCCTGAAGTTTCCTGATGACACCAACAAAGCTTTCACACATGATATTGTTCCCTTCAGTTGGCTAACTTGCCTTAAAAATCATTTTCTCAGAAGTATTTTCCCCAATACTGTTCCATAATTTAAATCAAATAGACTGCTGATGTCTATTACAGCAGTCCTCAAAAGGGAAACTATGGATTCCTAGCATTCCTCAAGACCCTCTGAAGGAGTCTCTAATTATTATTATAAAAATTAAAACTATTTTCCTAATAATGCAAGGAAGTTAATTTGCCATTTTCACTGTGTTGACATTTGCACCTATGGTACAAAAATGAGGGTGGGTAAAACTGTTGCCAGCTTAGAACCACACCAAGGTAGTAGAATCAGCATGGACTAATAGTCCTATTTTTCGCCTTCATTCACACTAAGAGGAAAAAAAAAAAGTCTGGCACCTTAACAAAAAAATTGACATACAGAGCGTACCCAAAAAATGTATACACATTTTAAGAAAGGAAAAAACTGTA